CGAGGCACGTCTTTCCGTTGTCCGATTTTAAAATTGTTTCGCAGGGCACGTTTTTATGACCAAAGGAACATTTCTAGGGGGAGTTTTGCTTTGTAGCTTAACAAAAAATGTTCTCCATACAACTAAGGCGCAGGCTAATGTGAAGGCATGGGCATAGAACGAGCACACAATGGGCTAGATTTTCTCAATATTCATCGAAATATGTATGTTAATGTTGACTCAGTATTAAGAAAATTTTTATCTACACCTCGGAGAATTGCATGTGACTTTTCTTTGAGTTTTGCTTAATTATATCCACAATTAAATACAATATGCTGAATACTCTACATAAAATAATGACATTCTTGGTTGCTACGAATGACTTCAAATAAACAGATCGACGGCAGTGTTTTTTTTTTAGTTTTCAGCATTTTCAAATCATATACATACATATGTAAAATTTAAAATAAATAAATTAAATTGTTAAAAAATATTGTTCCCAAGATACCAGCGGAGACCGAAAAGGTAACGGTTTTTAAAATGTTCTTAATTTGGTTTATAATTAATAAGTATTAAAGTGTTTCATCATTTCTTTTTATTGAAAAAAAAAACGCTAAATTAAAAAATGATTTACATATTATACAGTAAAAAACAGATAAAAACGCAAAAATTCTGAAGTAAATCAAAAAATATTTTTTATCTTGTTTAAAGGTTTAGGTTGGAACCACTTTGCGCCCACTCTATGGAATTCTTTGCCAGATCCAGCATATTTTCTATTAAATGCATCTGAAAAGTTCTAAAGTTAGACAAAAGTAATTTTTTATGCATTATTGTTTACCTCTAAACGCATTTGAAACTGGCATAACATCAACTCCTTTTTATGCAGTGACTCTTTTCAGGAATATTCGGAAACGTCGATCAGCTTCTTCTTGCTTGAAAATTTCTTTTTCAATTCAGACTAGACACTTTGAATCCCTTCGCACTTCATATTCGAAGCGCTCCGAAAACACCCATTCAAGGTGTTGCTGTGGGCGTTTTTTTATCCATATTCAGAGCGCTCGGCAGTTGCTGCCTATTGAAATGTACGTAGCAATGCTTTGTTCAATTTAAAATTTTAAAAATGTTTCCATGCAAATATTTCAAAAGTGGTCTAATGATTTTTAAATCTGGAATCTGCAAAGTTTCAGATCGAGCACTTTAATGTGATATGGGCATTCCCATGGTGGCGCACGTGACAGTCGTACGATTTCAATGTGATACAAAAAAGGAATACCATTTGTTTTCTTTAACTTTTTTGGGCCATTGTATAGCACATAATTAGCTCTATATTTAACCGAAAAATGAAATCAATCGAACTGCTTGGTCCTGAAATATAAGCATTTAAAGAGAGTGTCGTTACGTGACAAAAAATGGAAGTTGATTTTTTCTTTTCTTACAAAATCGCAAAACTCTGCGAATTGTGGATGGCTATTTTCATGAAACTTATTTTAATATGATTTGGAGCAATTCTAGTTGTTTTTAGAGTTTTTTGAATTAATGCAAATTGTTTCAATTCTCTTTTACAACCCCAAGTGTGAAACGTGACGTGACGTGGCGTCACGTGACATAAATTTCCATCGTTATATTTTTGTTAATATTGCTTTTAAATGAATTTTTAACGCAAATAAAACATGTATTTTATGTAGAATATACTTTATATTTTGACTTCAGCGCCAATTCAGGGTCAATTTATTGGAAATCTATGATTTATTATGTTTCAACCACATACGCCAAATTCGAACCAAATCGGACCATAAATACGGGTTTTCGAAATATCTCGACCTTGGCACCACCTAGGAAGACCATTTTATGCAAACATGATTCTACTTACATAGCCAGTATATATTTTAAAAAGCAGACAAATCGGCCCGTAAATACGTTAGATATAAAACTTTTATTTTTTTTGTCGTGGTGGACCTTCCGCTGGAGACACCCATATGTGACTTGTCTCTGTACGATTAGTAGATCGCGGGGAATGAGCGCCTTATTTTAGAATAATAATTAAGTATAGATTTTTAATTAATAAAATTTATTTGCTGAATTGGTACACTGTTACCGTTTTTGCGTTTTCTGGTTTTACCATTTTCTCATAACTTTTATACTATTTTTGGTTTTCAGTTTCTGTACTTCTTTGAGCTATGAAATAGTTGGTCACATTAGGTAAGTGTTAGTAAGTGAACTCTTGTGTCCAATTATCAAGTTACTTATTGCACACGGAATGCTTGATGAATCAATACTAATACCCCAAAACAACGTATTTTCGAATAAAATATTTAGTTATATTATTTTCTTACACTGTGCATTCAAAACTGCAACATTAGAAAAGTAACTGAATACGAGAATGTATTTGAATATAGAAAGCTCTGCAAAATCAAGTGTTTACAAAATTATTACTTTTTGAAGTATCTAAATGTAGATTCGCTGGGTACCTTATACTTTAATTTAAAAAAGAAAAGCAATTTTTGCTGAATAAATGTCCCTCTCGTGACGATGGATTATCCCATATCGCCACCTGAAATGCAAAAAGACGTAATAAACATCGTCGCTGAAATTCAAAAAGTTGTAACTAATAAAAAATTAAAAATTTAGTTTCTGATTGATATGATGGATTTCATCGAATTACAACTCCCACATCATTCAATGAAAAAAAAGGTGACAGGTAATAAGGTCAATGGAAATAAGGTCAATTGACATTATTACCTTTTCTAAAGCGAAATAAAGCCAACAAAAATTTGGAAATAAAGTCATTGACGTTATTTCCTCATTCAAGTGGAAATAGCGTCAACAATGCTTAAAGTATGTCGATTCATAGAAAAAAATGTTGTTCTTACAATAAACATTGCCCCGTAAGTGTTGTTTTTTAATAGATGAAAAAGGTTATTGCCAAATCCTCAGTGTTGTGATATTAATCCACACACAATCATGAACTACCACCAATTGATTTTATTAAAAAAATTTAAATTACGAATATGTAAAAACACGATGCGAAAAACTAAACGCCTGCGCACAGCTGGAATACGAGAAATATTTGAAGAAAGAGTGTAGAAATGATCCATAACTTGCAAAACATGTTTCGTTTCCACAAAAATAAAGCGAACACTATTAAATTGAAGAAACAGTCCATGTCCAAAAATCCCGGAGGAACACTGAAAGAATTCTGTGTTTTAAATTAGCATATTTTGAACGAATTCGGAATGTCTAAGGTGGAAAAGAAACCAACCTTTCTATAAGGAAACAATTATAGAAAAAGAATTTTCTTACACTGTATTCATGTCTCCGCCAGCAATTTGTGACGACATCATTTAAAAGCAGCTAAGGAGAATGACGACACTATTTATTAGATGGCACATTCAACGAGCCAATGTGCCAAAATGCGGGTATAAACAATTATTGATTATTTAATATCGGAACCGAGATCATAGACGTTAATTGATTAGTTTTCACACACTTTTGAAACACAAATTCTATGCTTTTTTACTGCAGACAAGTTGTTGCCCCAAAACACAGCAGAAATCTTCCAATCAGGGCTGGCAACTATCCTTAGTTATGAGGTGCCATATTGAAGATAAAAAAGTGCCAAAATGTGCCAAATAGAAAAATAAAAGTGCCAAAAAAGGTGTCATTCCTTTTAATCATTCACATTTAGCAATAAAATAAAGCTACATTTTCCAAACAAAAGTGCAATGATAAAATAAGATAAACCAGTTGAATAGAATAAATTAGAAAATTTTAGTTGAGAAAAAGAAGTGCACGCAAAGGATTTCACAAAAATGTATTGAAATGTTATTTTTTTTTACAAAAGTGCCATTTTGGCATTTTGTGCCAAATTGAAAAATTAAATCCCATTTGAAGTGAAATAGGGACAAATGGCACGGTTTGAGCCAAGTTGGCATNCAGACAAGTTGTTGCCCCAAAACACAGCAGAAATCTTCCAATCAGGGCTGGCAACTATCCTTAGTTATGAGGTGCCATATTGGGGATAAAAAAGTGCCAAAATGTGCCAAATAGAAAAATAAAAGTGCCAAAAAAGGTGTCATTTCTTTTAATCATTCACATTTAGCAATAAAATAAAGCTACATTTTCTAAACAAAAGTTCAATGATAAAATAAGATAAACCAGTTGAATAGAATAAATTAGAAAATTTTAGTTGAGAAAAAGAAGTGCACGCAAAGGATTTCACAAAAATGTATTGAAATGTAATGTTGTTTACAAAAGTGCCGGCGTAGCGTGACGTGGTGTGCGCGCTGGTCGCACTGGGTACGCGGGGCGCGAGCGAGAGCGCGGCGCGCGCGGTTTGGCGCGCTGACGCGGGCCGCCGCGAAGCTAACCAAATTTAATGTTTGAAAGAGAAATAATGTCAATGGATTTTATTTCGTTTTTAAAAAGGTAATAATGTCAATTGTCTTTATTTCGCACCAGGGTGGGAAATAAAGTGAATTGACCTTATTTCCGTTGATCTTATTACCTGTCACCAAAAAAAAACTTTTTAGTCACGACTTTTTTCCATTTCAGTTACGATGTTGTTACGTCTTTTTGCATTTCAGGTGACGATATATTTTTTGGATTTTTACTGAATAAAAATAACGTAAATATACAACCAAATTTATCATCTGATTCTTCTTCTTCTGGTTTAGCGCTAGAACCGCCTAAACGATTTTGGCTGAGTCCTGATTCTACATATTTTTGTGTTGTAAAAATAAAAATATGATTTAAATTAATCTTAAACAAATTTTTTGCCATGCTAAATCCGAAATATGCTTGATTCGAGTATTTTATTGTCAATACCTATACATATGCTACATTTTTTATTTTCCGGTTTAGGGGGAAACCCTTACTAAAAACTTCAAAGCCGTTTTTCTCCCATTTTTTTAGTTATGACATTCTTCCAGTAAACTAGCCAAATGTACATTGGAACCCAAAAGGGATAACATCTTAAAAAAAACTAGGAAATGCTTGAACGAAAATTATATAATTTATCTCACCAGGTATGTTATTTGCCTTTTTATTGCATTTTAGCATACAGTTGTCCGGTAGATTGAAAATGTCTTTGCAATTGTTTACGAAGCAAATATGGCAACTGCGGCAAGAGAACGATTTGTCTGTAGTGAGGCTTTGAGTTCTACGTAAGCAGTTAGAAGATTTTGGGACTTTTTTCTTTTTACTTTCTGCAGCAATTGGTTGCGTTGTTTTGCCCTGCCTATATTGACTGTGTTCTCGGTTTAGAATTTTTTCTTTGTAAATGGGTGCCAAATAGCTCACAGTGTCGCAGATAATGCAGTGCCACGTAACGGAACTATTTTCTGATTCGCAGTCATTACAAATCCAACGTCGATTTAGCGACGGAGTTGAAAAGTGATGATATAACTCGATGGATGTTTTTACGTACTTCCGAGTGTCTTCGCAGTCGACGCAATTAGATGGCAAATTTTTGTTGTTGCGCTGCGGTCGTCGCAAACAGCCTCTGAGCATCGACTTATAAACTCGTTTGTACTCATTCCTGAAAAGCGAATTATAGTTATTGTAAAAATTTGGTTATACATATACATGAATATACTTTTTTAAAAGAAATTATCATTTTAAAGATTTATTATAGGTTCCTTATTCATATGCATTAATACTTTAATAGTGTTTTTCGAGCTAAATTTTTTTTTGTTATTTTTATATAAAAATATCGTCTAATCTTTAACCAAAACCGTGTAAATCACAGTTTCAAACTCTATAAAAAATTTAGGAAAATTCAACAAATTTTCATCAAAATTTCAACTTTTTATTCTGAATTTTTAGAAAATTTTTGGGGATGCAGTTTTATAGACCATACAATTCTAGTCTAATGAAGTGCAAGTTTCAAACGGCTAAAAAATCGCGTTGATTTTTGAGAATTTTTTTTTGGGGTAAGTGTCAATACCTTATGAAATAATACGCGGGAGACCGTTAGCAACAAAATTTCAAAATATCAACGCAAGTTTTCAAGATTGCGCTTGTTATATTAAAAAACCCGCAAAATTAGCCCCTGAATTTTCTAAAAAATCAGAATAAGAAGTTGAAATTTTGATGAAAATTTGTTTAATTTTCCTAAATTTTATATAAAGTTTGAAACTGTGATTTGCACGGTTTAGGTTAAAGCTTAGACGATATCTTAATATAAAAATAACAAAAAAAAAATTGCTGGAAAAATATTACGAATATTAAAAACAGGAACAGTCATGCGCCTTCGTCTTGGTCTGCAGGCCGTATCGGAGATACAGCCGCTAAATTTAAACGTAGAACACGTGGTATGGTTAAGAGCATATCCAAGTCAAAAACGAGAAACACACGTAAAAAAAATATCGATAAAAAAAGCGATAATATTATCGATAGCAAAATCGACAAAAAAATCGATGTAAATATCGATATCAACATCGATAGCAAAATCGATAAAATATCGATAATAAAACCGATAAAAATATCGATAACAAAAGCGATAACAATATCGATAGCAAAATCGATTAAAAATATCGGTAACAGAACCGATAAAAATATTGATGACAAAATCGATCAAAATATCGACAACAAAATCGATAGCAAAATCGATAAAAATATCGATAACAAAACTAGTAAAATCGATAACAACGTCGATAACAAAATCGATTACAAAATCTATAACAAAATCAATCAAAATATCGATAACAAAATCGATAAAAAATATCGATAACAAAATCGATAAAAATATCGATCATTATATCGCTAAGTTCCGAAAATATCGATAGAAAAATCAATAACAATATCGATAAAAATTTCGATAACAAAATCGATAAAAATATCGATCACAAAACCGACAAAATATCGATTATTATATAGATAAGTCCCGAGAATCCCGAAAATCTCTAAAATCCCGAAATAGTTGAGTCTCTGTACCTCTATCTATATCCTTTTTTCTACAACTACCTTTATTTTAATCTTTCTTCCTCTATCTTCATCTATACTTTTATCGGTATCCTCATCCTCATCTTTTTCTTTATATTTATCTTTGTTTTTATTTTTATGTTTATCATATTCTTTATATACATATTCCCCTTCACCTTTGCCCTCATATAAGTAAAGTGTTTAAATTTATCTTGGTCTTCATTTTTGCCTTTATCTTTGCGCAACTTTGTTTTTGTTTTTATTTTTACTTTTGCCTTCATCCTTTTCTTTGTCTATGTACGTACTCACTTTTAAATACTTTTATTCTTGGATTGGTCTTTTTCTAATTGTTGTTTCACTTCAAAAAGTTTTCGCGTATTATGCATACATGTGTTCATACGTATATGTATTAAAGGGTTGCAGAATTACATTTGTCTCTTCTACGCTTGCAAGACCTCTTTGCTTTGTACTCTACTCCCAAGTAGAATGCTTATGATGTATTGTGGAACGATTTTCCGTCATCCCTTGCCAAATTTGGAGAGAACGAAAAATGACACTGAAGATGGCACAACGCCGAAACCGGTTTGTCTCCAAACCAAATTTGACAAGGGATGACGGAAAATCGTTCCACAATACATCATACTCCTACCCTGTCGGAAACACAAACAACCAAAAAGTAGAATGCTTATTAGACTGGGTCGGTCCCCATACAAAAAAAAAAAGTTGCTAATGTCCGCCCCTAAATTTAAAGATTATGTTGAGAGGGTTCTGGAAAAATTTTTTTTTTTTTTTTT